ACTGCACGGATGCTCGCTTGGAAAACCACAGGGGCTGTGGTACCGGGATGGGGTCGTTACGGGGATGGGGTCGTTACAGGGATGGGGTCATTACCGAGTGCTCCTCCGCCTCACAGCCTGTGCAGCTTAAAATTGGGTTTGCTCCGCGACGCATCCAACGGCCGGTTTAGGTTTGATACGGCTGGGAAGTTGTACTTGGGCACAGGGTGAGCACAGGTGAGAGCATCCTCTGGGCCCCACGGGAGGGTTGTTTTGGGATGCAGCTGGTGCTTGGGTCACCGAGCCACACACGAGCCCTGTCCCCGCCATGGGGCAGTGTCCCCCTGCGTGTTTGATGTCCCAGCTCCAGGGCTGCCTTACCCGGCCCTCTCCTGGAGCGGCTTTTGGGGGTTTTGTGGTGGTTTTGCTGTTTTCACCCCAGCAGCCAGCGCTGCCTCCCATCTCCACCCCCGAGAGTTCTGATACCACTGCCTGTGCACCCCAGTGAGCCCCACATCTGGGTACTGGCCTAGCATCACATCCTCCAGCCCCTGCCCCTCGTACAACAGCTCCTTCTCTTCGGCCTTGGGCATGGCCATTAATTGTGGGTATTTTCTGTTAATTTTTCTTTGCTTTTTCAAACCAAAGACCCTCACCTCCTCACGAGCAGCACCCACGTTGTTCAGTGCAGACACCCTCGGTCCTCCCCTTCTTTCGCCCTAAACCCAGCGGTTGGGTTCGTTTTAAGAGAGCAGCCACAACTCCCGTGACCGCTGCAGCCCGAATGGGACCAGTCCCTCCCAGTGCCCCCAGCAGCGGGGCCGGGGGGGTTTGGTCACCACTCAGCCCACAGCACTTCACCCCCTCTCAGCTTCTGCATCCTTGGCAGCTCGGAGCAGCCAGCGCACACCAGTGCCACACACGGCCCCTCCGCTCCCGTTTTACTGTGCACCGGACCCCGCCGTGTAGTTACGGCACCAGTTATCCCCACCATCTTTTATTATTTTATTCTTAATCTGCGTTTCAGTCCCTCTCGCATCGCTGCCTTTGATTCTGCTTTTACGCTGTCATTAGGACAAGAAAAACCGACACAAAAAACCCCCCCCTTTTTAAGCCATAAACATCGTCACGTTTTCCAGATAATTTATTTGCAACCGCGTCGTGTTCTGAAAGCGCGCGAGGGCGTCGAAACGCGTCGGGACAGGTCTTTTCACAAACGTTTTTGTAACAGACTGGGGGGTTTGGGGTTTTTTTTAAGTGTTTTGCACATTGCGTAGCTAAGGAGGCATCGTCTGCGTCCAAACCTCGAGTGCAGTCGCCAGGAGTGGTTTTCCCAGATATTTTGGGGGCAGGAGGGCAGGGGTATCCGTAATTATGGATACCTGCAGGCAGCTGAGGGTTTACAAAGCACTCGGCACGGCTCAGATGTGGGAATTTCGGTTTAGGCCCTGACTTCTTTTGTCTGTGAGCGGTGACCTGGGGTGGCCAAAAAGAGCCCGGTTGGGACTGGGGACTTTCAAAGGGGCTCAGCTGGGGCAGCCCGGGGTCACGTGCGGAAACGCGGGGCCTCTCTGCAACTTTCGAACTCGACGTAACCGAACACACGTTTTGGGGTTGGTTTGTTATTTTCTAAATTTTATTGTATTATTGCAATAAATCTTTAACAGTAATTTTTTTTTCCCTTTTTTAAAGTTGTGTATTTATCGCTGTTCCTTCCGCGTGGTTCGTTTTTGAACGGTGCCGGGGCAGCGCACAGGAATTTGCAGCCTTCGAAGCACGGCAGGGAGCGGACCCGTCACAGCACCATCGCAGCACGGACTCTAAAAAAATAACTCATCACACAAAGGAACCACGTTTCCATTGGAGCAGAGCAAGTCCACACGCGTGTCCCTGTACATACGTGGACACGGAGCAATCCCTGGGGTGAGCCTGGCTTTGAGCTGCTGGGGACGGCGGCGGCTGCTGCTGCGGGTGAGGAGCCTCAGGGAGCTCTGCGTGCGAGGGACAACGTTTCACCCTCCGAGGTCGTTTCAGAAGGACGCAGCGTGGATCTCCTGCAGGAGGTCACAGTTACAGTGAATTATTGCGGGGCCGAGCGACGGGGATGGGGAAGGGCTGCGTTGGACGCAGTGGGCTCTGCCTTCAGGACCTGGGGGCCTGGCGACGCTGAACGATGGAGGAGAAACAACGTAGCCCACTTCATGTTTTTGGGTTGATGCTCAAGACTCCCGTCCATTGCACGTGGGGCACTTCACCACCTCAAAGCCCCCTTCGCCACCAGGCTCAGCTCCTGTTCAAGCTGTGCCAGCAGCAGGAGGTTTCAGCCTCTGCCAGCGCTGGTTGGTGCCTCGCAGTCCCTGAGCCCCAGGCCCGCTGGGGACGTCCAGGATGGAGCCAAGAACCCAACCACCGACCTTGGCCATGGGAGGCTCTTCCAGTGGTGGCTGTGCCAGGAGATGCCCAGAGCTTGATGGAAACTGGAAGCTTAGAAAAGCTGGTAACGTCACTACAATTTCTTCATAGGCATAGCTGGAAATTTTGGTCCACCCGCTCCCAGGCAGGGAAGTGAAGCGCACAGCACAGCCTCGCTTCTTCAACGCTGAATTTTGTAGATTTAACACTGGATTTGTTGGGTTTTCTTAGCTGTCTCTTAGAAGGAAGAAAAAATAGTTCATCAGACCTTGGGTTTTCCCTGAACGTGCCTTTAAGGAGACAGAAATCTGCATTTTAATGGGGGGGGAAAGCAAGCTTGCAGGCAGCTCAGCAACAGAGCAGTAGATGATGGATAAACCAGCCCATGTTCCCCAGCCAGCTCGGGGGGAGCACGGCGATGGGGTAGGGCAGAGACTCAACTGTCCTCCCTGTGTAACTGCTCCGAGGAACAAGACAGCCCAGTGCTGTTACGCTATTCACATTTTTCCCCTTGCTCAACGAAGGTGACCAAAATCCCACAGCCTGTTCCAAAAAAATAATTTAAAAAAAACAACCTCACTGGTCCCTTATCTCATTCCCAAATATTTTCCTTTGCTGTTCCTCTTTCGCCTCGCAGGGTCCTTCCTCGCCGCTGCAGCCAGGCACAGGTTATCACGGTGTTTCCAGCATCTTGGGTGGGGGGCAGAAAAGCCGTTTCTTCCCCTTGCTCTTCCTTAATTGCAATTAAACTGAAGGCAGTGGATGCTGATGGCTTTGGCAAGGCAGCTCCTCCCAGAACGCTGTTTTGCTGGGATCGAAGCCCCGTTCGGGTGAAGTCAGGGATTTCGGAAGGCTCCTGTGTTTCCTCTCCCTTTCCCGTGGCTCCCGTTAGCATTTCCAAGTTCGTTCCTCCTGGCTGTCAGCACGGCTGCTGCATTGCAGAGCAGCACCACGAGGGGTGGGCGCTGGGGAGCAGGTATGGCTGCATGGGGGGGAGGGAAATAACCCACCTTCTCAAATGTACCAGGAGCATCCTGAGCTTCCCAACCCCCCTTTTTGGGCTCTAAGGGCTCCGTTTTCTTTCTCTTGCTGTTAATGAGGGAATTGGCCTCCAAAGCCTCTCTGTCCTCGCACTTTAAAACCGTTGCGCCACGCTGTGCAATCCCATCACTTTTAGGAGATGAGGCAGAGGGGGGTGGGCTCCACACCCTTGGGGGCTGCAGGGCAAGAGGGGAGGTGGCACCAGCTCTTCTTGAACCACAGCAGATATTTCGGCTGCAATGACAACTGTCAGGGTCCATCCTTCTGCTGAGAAGCGGCAGAGGAACAGCCACAGTGTGAAGGGTGGTGAGATGAGGGACTCTGACACAGCAACGGCCGCTCTCTGCTTGCTCCCAGGAACTGAGAGGGCTCCACAGATGCATCCCCAAACTGCTCCCCAGGGAGCTGGGCACAGGGAGGGCTGGATCCACATTGGAGGAGATGCTGGAGGCGATGCCGTGCTCTGCTCCCATGGGGGCTGAGGAATTACCAACACGAGCAACCACAGCATCTCTCTGAAAGCACCAAACCACCCCTCAGAAAGAAGCCAGAGGCTGCAGCAGAGCAGGGCCAAGCATTGCAAAGATCCCTCTTACAAGGGGAAAAAAAAAAACCATATACAGCAAAGAGGCAAGGAGCAGGACTCAAACTCAAGTGTCGCAATTTTTCCAAGATTTACACACCTAGCACCAGCTCTGCAGCCAACAGGAACCTCTGGGGAGCCTCTGCTGCACGCACGGCTGCTGGGAAGGAAAGGAAAAGCTGGAATTTGGGAATGTTACAGGAATACAGGCTGGGGATTTCTCGTTTCTTTTTCAGAAGGAAGACCAGTTTTGTACAGGCAGCACAGCGCGCGTCTGAACTACAGCACAGGACCAGCTTTCTGCCACGTGTTTTACAGCATCTTTATTTTGGGGCCAAAGTCTTACAGGAGAAAGTTTGGTAAGGCAGATGCAGAATGCACATTTTATTTCCGTAAAAAAAAAAACCAAACCAAACCAAAACCAAACCAAAAAAAACCAACAGACAACAAGGGTAAGGTAGACAAGAACTTTTTATATTCTGACTATACAATATTCCTCTCTTTTTATCCACTGCCCCGCTACTGGAATGGGTCTGTTCTAGTCCAATGGTAAGGTTGTCCAGTTAAGTTGTCTGAAGGTTCTTTAAACAAGTTGACCTTTACCTATTTAGAGTTTCTTTGCAGAAACATTCATATATTATACAGGATATACAGATTTTTTTTTGGACCAAGACACTTAAAAACACACACAACTATAGCCGCAACACTATCGTAGCTGCATTGTAGTGATTACGTTGTTCAGCCAGCTGTGGACTCTGTATATACAATTAGTTTTTATCGTGTTATTTACACAGATGGACTAAAAGCTATCTTTCATCTAAAAGGTAAAGGCTCTTGTGTTGAAATCTGTGCAGTTTCATAGCCCTGTGGAGAGAAAAAACAAACAAACCAAGAAACAAAACCAAAAAAACCCACGACAATTATATACACTGTAAACAGCACAAGGCATGAGATTCTTCTCCGACCCCAAAACAAATAAATCTCGCAGGAAAGTGGATGTGCGCTAAAATTCCTCCTCCGCCTCGCCGCCCGCTCCTCGGCTCTTCTTGTGAATGGCGCGGTTGAAGCTGTGGCAGGCGGGTACCCAATGATTGTCGTGAAGGCCCAGCTTGCAGCCCGGGATGCCCTTCTGCGACCGGTGGCAGCACATCCAGTAGCCGGGCCCATAGGGTAAAGCCTGGCAGTAGGGTTTGGGGTGCCACCGGCACAGCGACACGTCCCCCTTCACGTATTTCTTCTTGCACTGCTTGCAGGGGTCTTCTCTGTAGCGGGGGTCGCGGACCCAGCGCGAGTCCGCCGGCCTGATGTTGTAGTACTCGATGATGAATTTGAAGTAGTAGCAAGTGCATTTGAGGGCAACCAGACTCCTGGTAGGAAGCAAACCGAAGATCTTGACGATGATGTGGTGAGGCAAGAAGGCCATATACTGCTGCGGCTCCAAAAGCTGCTGGATTTTAAACCTGGTCTCCAGAAAGTCATGGGAAACCTGCCGTTTGAAGCAGGAAGCATCAAGTACTTGCAAAGCCCCTTCCGTCGGAGGAACCGAAAGGGCAGATGGCTCTGGGGGGACGCTGCTCCTGACGCACGACCTGTCAGACGCCAAAGCATCCTCATCCTCATTCTGGGCTGCTTCTCCTGGCTTTTCTTGGGTGCTTCCCTGGAGCGGTTGGTGCTCGGGAGCAGGAGGCTGCTCAGCCCGGAGAAAAAACAGCCTCCCTGGGAGCGGATCTTCACCAGAGCTGGAGCGCTTCTCCTTCCTGCAGCCTTTCTCTGTCTTGGTGACCGATATGCTGATGCACAAAGGCTCCTTCCTAGCAGGATGCAGGCTCTGCTTTGGGAAAACGCCGGGCTCTTTCAACATACAATCACCAGTCGTGCTCTTGCTCTGCAAGGGCTCTGCTGGCAGCCTGGCAGCGGCGGGACACGCTGACGGCAGAGCTCTGGGAGCCTCCAGTCGCGTTTTGGCATCGCTCCTGCCCGCGGTTATCGCCAGCACTGCGTGAGCAAGTCCCGAATTCACATTCCCCATCCCAGTACCCAGCCCGCTAGGAAAAGGCTGCCGGGCGGAGGCAGTGCCATCCCACAACTCAGCGTCACCCAGAGCGCCGCACCGCCCCCCGTACCCATCCTCTGCCACCCCC